TATTATGCCTATTGCAAATGTTATTGTGGCAAGCTCTTAAAAGAGCTAGGATAGTGTTTAATATTACAATTACAATTTTAACAAGTCAAATGTGTAAGAACAAAATGCATCCAAGTCATGAACTAGATGTTATTACTGTTTTTCTTATACATTTTATTGCCGGATGTAACTGGGACCCCGTGTACATAATTTCGCTCCACCACATGTACCACATGAGGTGCGAATGACAATAAAGAAACTCTGACTCTGACTCTGACTCTGAACTAGAATGTGTACAGATATCAAATGAGAAGTTGATCATTGTTTGCATCAATGAACAATACTTTGTTTTGTATTTGCATCATGTACGACTCATAATTACAAGTTTCATGCTAAAATCAGGATGCATTTTTTTTCCAGCACGTTCTGGTTTGACCCAGGTCTCCTCATTTTGGGATGTGCCTGGAAAAGCTCCAACGGGAGGCACCAAGCAGACGTTCTAATCAGATGCCTCAGACCACCTCAACTGACTCCGTTTGATGCTGAGCTGTAGTGGCTCTACTCTGAGCCCCCCTCCAATGACTGAGCGCCTCGCCTTACCTCTGAGGCTGAGCTAGGCCACCCTGCCCATTCCAGCCTTTTGTAACTGAGATCTCATTTCTTAGGTCATAATCTGCACACACACACACAAATACACACCTCATGCACACTGGTGGTGGCTGAAAGAGAGACAGACAAGTAAGTTGGGAGCCGTGCCTTTCTATTCAACTTTTTCTTCACAGCACTGACAGAAACAACATCCTCATTAATGTGAATGAAGCCTAGATTTTATAAAATCTTTCCTGCTCCACCTACTCTTGAACACCACGCCCAGATACATGAACTCCTCTGGTTCTGTTTTTTTTTTTTTTTTTTAATGTCTTCACTTTGATTAATCTCCAAGCCAGATGACATTCCACATTTATGTTGTAGCTGATTTTTTTTTTTTTTTTTTGTGGTTGTTTTTGTCTGTGTGTGTTTTGTCTTTATTTAGGTTCCAAGACAGTTACATATCTTTTAAACTAGTGTTGTCTATGTTTTCGGGGTTGATGACACACCTTTTGTACCAACTGGAAAGTCTAAACGCAGGAAGAAAAGGATTATTTGTAACAAAGCTCTGTTGCGGTAAAATTTATCATCATAAGATTAATTTTACTGCCTGCTGGTGGTCTTTGTGTGCCTTGCTGCGCTGCTTCCAGTGGAAATAGGGGTATCACAAACCTTATCTGAACTGTAATTTTCTCTTTGGCATCAGCAGCTGGAAGACAGCAACAGCCTCCCTGCATGAGAGGATGTTATAGTCACGCCCTTCCATCTCAGCATCCACTTGGAGCAAAGTTGTAAAAGCAGCACGCTGTGCAGGAGAAGGGTTTCTGTCTGACAGATGAGCACAGAAGAAACTGAGAGGCTCAAGATGGACGGGTAATCTGAGGTAAATAGTCCTGCTGAAGATAAGGACAGTCGGTGAAGTAAGGCTTTGAGCTTCAGATGTCCTGGTTTGGTCCCCATCATCACAATACGTTTGAAAAACAAGCAAATAATATGTGACCTTTTGTTTGAAACTCATTCACAGAAGTAAATGTCACTCTTGGATTTTCAACTTTTACCTTGTTTTTGACACATTAAAGGCAAAAGTTTATTTGATAAGTTTGCTACAGTTTAGTGTGTAGAAGTATTTGTTTCCCCCTGTTCACCTCCTCCTCACCCATCTGTGTAATTTGTTAAATTATCTCCTGGTGTGCGTGGTCAGGTGTGATGAGTCAGTCATCGTTTTCCCCATTATAAAGACATATCCCATCCTTGCTGCCAGTTTTTTTTTTATTTGTCAGTGTTCGTTTAGACCTTTAAAGTCTTGTACAAAATTATTCACTGGAAAACTTCTCTTGCACCCATTGCTTCAACAACAAAAAAATCTATTTTAACTTCACCACCTTTCATTCTCAGATTTATGACAAAACCTATGAGTGAATTTTCTGCCAAACCTGACTTGGTCTTAAAATCAAAAATGAGGGAAATGCAAAACAAAACCGTTTTGATTCTGCTTGTTTTATCATGATTTCCATAAATTTTAAATCATTGTGTTTTCATGAAAACTTTTTTTTTCTGGATCTGAATCTTTGTTTCTTGTTGATGGGGGGTTTGATTTATAAAATGTTACAAATTCTGAGGAAGTTGTGACCTCTAGCCGATAAAAAAAAAACACTAGCTGCGTGAAAAATATAAAAGCACAATAACTAATATTGTATACTAGAAGAGAAATTATGAATGGGGTCAAAGTTTTAGCTTAAAATAACATAAATAACAAAGAATGGTTTATTTTTCCTCGCATAACTGAGTTTGTGTGACGCTTTAGTGGTTACACGTAACTAAGTGTGGAAAAGTTTCAACATGGCTCCAAGGCAAAGTGAAACGATCCACAATGAAAGTCACTGTTGCCTAAATAATAAGCAGGGGCTATTTTTAGTTCCAAGAGTTTCTGAGAAAACACATTTTCAACATATTTTGAAAGCTTTGTTTCATTTATCATAACCTTTTTTTGTATATACTGTGACACAAACTAGCAAGTGAAAAACACTGTATAGTAACAAGCACTTCAGTGTTATTTTAATTTTATATTTGCTCAATAATTCAGAATCATAGCTTTAAGTTTATACAGTAGATGTGTATGTGCGTCTGTGGTCACATCAAGGAAAAAAAAGTGTCGTTGAGAGTTGCTGGCATTATCCTGCTGCAAACTCAATGACTTTCTTCGTACAAAACATCAATTCGCGAAACAATATGACTCATAAATCGGTTTAATTTAAACCATCAATCTCATTTGCTGCTTCATCATTGGGAGCCATTGGTAGGTTTGCTGACATCATAGGATCAGTGGCTGAGTGGGTGTCAAGGTTCCCCCAGGCTTTTCAGGCAAGCCTTGGCTCTGAAATGGCAACAAATTGTGCAAATAAATCCCCCACATCAGCACAAGTCTGTAAAGGTTACGAAATGCCCGGGCATCTGTGTCTTTCCAGCCAAAGTCATCCTTTGCTACATTAGTGACTCAATCTAATCACCGACGTGTGGTCATGGCACACTGTGAGCTTTCCTGCTAAATGCTTGTATGTTGATGGTAATGTTCTTTGCACAATATATTTTATATTTCTCAATTGATGCCTTATGGGTAATTTTGTGTTTTGTTACATGTGGCCATGTCTTCCAACATGATGCTACTAGAGGTTTCTAGCATAAAGTTGCACTGGGACAAGTCTATCACACTATATTTATTGGGTTTACTATATTCTGACCCATCTTTCAGCCTGGTTAAACTCTGCTCAACTGGTTGGTTCCCATCAACCATTTTGCCTTTGCTAGATATCCCAATCATGTTCACTCTTTGTATATGTTTAAGTGTCTTTCCAGTTTAATTAAAGACACCAGTGTTAGTTGATTATTTGCCAGCCTTCTAGTTGGTAATCTGTTTCTCTATTTTAAGGCAGAACTGTCTCAACATGTTTATTCTGTTCGACTCAAATAGCGGGCAGAACGGCAATGGGGGGAAGGGGGGTCTGGGGGTCCTGAAATTTTTTAATAAAGTAGATGTGATTAAAGGGAAGACGTGGAAATGCTTCACTTGACGAAGCAGATTTCATGCTGTTGTGTTTAAAATTAGCGCTCGTAATTATTTTCAATTTGCATATCCAGTATAAGTTTCATTTGTTCAAGGCGCTCATGGTTGTCCATAACTTTATTATTAGCAAGCCTGAGAGTTATCGGATCCAAGCCAGATCATAGCAAACAGTTACCGGAAGCACCCTGTCAAAATAAGAGTTCACGGATTTTGTTCGGGCAGGATCCAGCTCAAATTAAGCCCTGGTCATGTACTGATTTCTGTTCCACCAGCGTTGAGTTAAATTATTTATTTCATGGTCCCAAAGAAACTAAATTGCAAAGTAGAAGACTGAAGTGATACCTAGATTTTCTACTTTTATGTTTTGATATTGGTCATATATAT